AGATGTGAAACATCACGGGTCATCAAGGAAATGCAAATAAAAACCTCAAGTTACTGCTCCACACCCACAAGGATGGCTATTAATTTTTAAGAAGCAGAAAAACAAGCACTGCAGAGAATCTGGAGAAACAGGAACCCTCACACATTGCTGGTGGAGCTATGACATAGTACAGCCACAACGAAACTGCTGGGCAGTTCCTCAGAAAGCCAAACATCGAATTAATGTATGAGCCTGCAATTCCATTCCTAGGTGTATACACCCAGAGGAACTGAAAACGGGTGATCAAACAAGTACACACACACACACACACACACACACACACACACGCATGCACACGTGCATGCGCGCATTTACAGCAGCACTATTCCCCATAGCCAATGTGTAGAAATAGCCCAAACAGCCCACAGACGAACAGATAAACACAGTAAGGTACAGCTGTGTGTTATTCTTTGTAGATTCCATACTTTTGAATTTACCTCCTTACTGAAGCTCATTTGCAAACCCCAAACCAGTACTGCTGGCTTTCAGTCATTTGCAGACACTCCCAGAACAGCAATGTCAAGTAAGGCAACCCTGTTCTCTTGCTTTGGAAAAACTTCTTCACAACACACATGTGTATTACTTTGCAACCAGATAAAGCCCTTCGCATTATTTTTCCTTGAGAGAACAAAACGACTTATCAGTAAAAGACCAACCTACAAACAGGTCAAACAAAATGTGCCCTCAGTTAAGTTCTAGTGCCTAACACGCATAAAGCACAATTCCTTCATTTTACAGGTGATACCATATCCAAGGTCAAGTGCACTCGCCGAGAAACCCTCACACTTAGACAAGAATAGATCTGTCTGAGAAAGCACCTTTTCTGCCCCAGTCTTAGAGCCACTCCACTCACTGGAGAAGTCAAACAACACCTTTTTCATCACAGGACCCTCAACCTCCTGTGGGCCCTCAGAGGTCTGAGGCTCCCTTTCTCCACTGCACTTTCTTGCCCAGATTAACTGGAAGGAGCCAACAGCATCTCAACACCGAACGGTGATGCCGCCATAAGCCTGTGCTGAGAATTGCAGCACTCCCTCTCTCTCAGGACAAAGCCCGGCTGCTTCCGTGTGCTCTGCGCCCCGTTCCCTGGGAATCCGCCCTTCCTGGGGTGGTTGAAGAGGGCACTGCACTGAGAGTACCAGACAGTCAGTCTCTGAGACTGAAGCCTGACGTGTCCACCTCCAACCTGTGCTCTCCGCGGCTCTCTCCCTACCTGGTCACCACTGCCTCCCCAAACCCATCCCATCCCTGACCTCTGTTCATACCCTTATTCCACTAGCCTGAGCTCCCACCAAGGAGTAAGCCGTAGCTAACCACCAAACGAGAACCCTGGCTAGACCAGGTAGAAAAACTGCCAACAAACCCATGCACTTTGACCCTGTCCCAAATTGTGTTCTGAATCTTGCAGCCATGAAGCACTCCCATCCCTGGCACCGAAACTCATCAGGCGCTGTCACTGTAGGTCATGCCTCTCTCACGTACTTGGGCAACAGGTGTGTGTTTACACAGAGCTGGTTCCAATCCCAGCTCTGCCAACTTCTGGGCTTTGACCACGTGAATCAGGATCCAGATCTCCTCTCCTCCGTCTATAGACGGCACACAGGCCACTGCCGCTGTGAGGAGGATCTGCACCCCCGGACCTTGCCATGGAGCCTCACCTCCTGGTACTCTCAGTGCAGTACCCTCTCCAACCACCCCAGGAAGAGAGGGTTCCCAGGGAACGGGGCGCAGAGCACACAGAAGCGGCCGGGCTTTGTCCTGAGAGAGAGGGAGCACTGCAATTCTCAGCACAGGCTTATGGTGGAACTCGGGTCCTAGCCACGCAGCCTCCGCAGGAATTATGCAGACAAATAAACACCAAGGAGCACGACTTAAAACAAGCAAGCAAAAAAAAAAAAAAAAAAAAAAAAAAAAAAAAAAAAGAAAAAGAAAAAAAAAAGAAAAAAAAGAAAGAAAGAAAAGAGGGAGAGAGAAACTGGCCATCCTCCGAAAGGGCTCCATGAAAGCACATGCTGAGATTTGAAAAACCTGCCACATCTAAAATGGGAGAATGTTACTCTATGTAACTTACACCTCAATAAACCAGACTGAAAGAAAACACCTTGACCCAACAATGTTACCAAGGATTCCTGGAAGTACACACTCAAGGACACTGAGGGAGGTGGCATCATGCTTGGGGCCTTTCAGAGGAACCAGGCAACAGGTGCTCTAGAGGAACATGGGGTCCCAGGCCACTCATACAACCACACGCCCCCATACCCCAAATGAAGCCCCCAGGATCCTGAAAGAGCAGGCAGGGATTCAGAAAGGGCTCTCGGCCTTCCCGACACCCCCACACAAGGGAGGATGCTGGGCCCAGCAGCAACAATCCTAAGGCCAAAGGGCCCCCTGCTCCCTTTCTCTACCAGGGGCAGGATGCAAGGGTGGAGCCCCAGGAACCCAGGACAGAAACAGCCCTGGAGTCTGCATTTCAGACTTAGCTGAGTGCCGAGGACACAGCACTTGGGGACACCTGAGCAGCAGCCACTTGGGGCTCCTGCTGCATTGGGCAGAGTGGCACGACACAGGGTGGGTTACTGCCATACTTGGGAGCAGCGAGCCTGTATCTTGCCTGAAGTTGCCTGTCCTGGGCAAGAATAAAAAGCAGCAAACGGCACCGGCCAGACCCCGCCCCACCTGCCTCCAAATCCATAGGCAGGCCACCGTGGAGCCAGGCAGCAGCCGGAGCCCCGGCAGCCCCTTGCCTGGGGGGTCCTGGGAGGCAGAATGGACGCTGCCAGTGCCCACGTGGCTGAAGGCCATGTCAGGGATCAGACAGGTGTCTGGGAACAGAAAACCGCACGGAGCTTGAGCACAGTAGCACACGCCTGTAGTCCCAGCTACTCAGGAGGCTGAGGTGGGAGGATCTCTTGAGCTTGGGAGGTTGAGGATACAGTGAGCTATGATTGCACCACTGTACTCCAGCCTGGGCAACAGAGCCAGACCCTGTCCCTAAAAACAAACAAACAAAAAAGCCTTGCTGGCCCAAACTGCTTCTGAACCTCAATCTTAATCTAAGCCACGCCAGAAGCGGGTTTAAACTGCCCACACAGACTGTGGCACCACACCCCACCCCGTAGAATACCAGTGCCTGGGCTGTGGACACCTCCCACAGATGGGCTCGAGCAATCCCCTTGAACGCCCCGAGAGGGGGCTGCTGTTCTCATTCCCCTTCCACATGCTCACCCAATGGAGCTCGGGGAGGCTGGGGAGCCCCATCACACACCTGGCAGAGGGGTGGCCCCACAGGCCCAAGGGCCCAGACAACACACGCCTCGGGAGGCCCCTTGCAGGCAGTTTCGCCTCTGCTCCCAGTGGGGCCTCAATTCCAAAAGAGCCTCAGAATGACCAAGGTTTCAATGAACTGGACGCTGGAAGGCCTTGCATCTGAAATCAGCCAAGCTGCACGGGTTGAAATGTCGCCAGCTGCTAAGAGGGCAGCACGCCAAAAGCCTCTTCTAAAGGCCCTCAGTGCCAGGGGGTTTGTGGAAAAGTGGAACTCCAGCCATGTGGCCCGGCATGGCCAGGTATAATCCAGGGACTCAGTAACAAAGCAGGGCAGCACCCGCAGGCGTCCCAGGAACACTTCCTTCCCCAGCGCCATCTCCACGCCTGTCCAGCTGCACCTGGGGGAAAGCAGCTGGCTGTGGCCAAGCCATAAGCCAGGAAATGTCACTGCTGGCCCTGTGGTGACACCTGGGAGGAGGGGCAGGGGCAGGCTCTGAGTTGTTTTAATTGGGCCGGGTGCAGTGGCTCACCCCTGTAATCCCAGCACTTGGGGAGGCTGAGGCGGGCAGATCACAAGATCAGGAGTTTGAGACCAGCCTGGCCAACATAGTGAAACCCCATCTCTATTAAATATACAAAAAATAAGCTGGGTGTGGTAGCACGCCTGCCTGTAATCCCAGCTACTCGGAAGGCTGAGGCAGGAGAACTGCTTGAACCCAGGAGGCGGAGGTTGCAGTGAGCCAAGATCATGCCACTATACTCCAGCCCCGGCGACAGTATGAGACTCTGTCTCAAGAAAAAGAAAAGTGAGTTGTTTTCATCGCTAGCTCCCAACCCCCACACTCTCCCACCCAAAAAAAGTGAGAAACTACAGATGAAAGAAAACAAAAACAAAACCAGCCAGGCGCAGTGGCTCACGCCTGTAATCCCAGCACTTTGGGAGGCCGAGGTGGGCAGATCATGATGTCAATAAATGGAGACCATCCTGCCAACATGATGAAACCCCATCTCTACTAAAAATGCAAAAACTTAGCCGGGCATGGTGGTGCATGCCTGTAGTCCCAGCTACTCGGGAGGCTAAGGCAGGAAAATTGCTTGAAACTGGAAAACGGAAGTTGCGGTGAGCTGGGAACGCGCCACTGCACTGCAGCCTGGCGATAGAGACCCCTGCACTCCTACTATCCAGATGACCTGTGCTAACCTTTCTGGATATAGACAACTCCTTTTTCCTTTAAGTATCATATATGCAGCTCCCTTTGTGAATTTTGAAGGTTGTCACAGATTCCGCCCAGAACACGCGCCGTAATCGGACCATCATCAGGTATTTAAGCTATTTCCCAATCTCAGTCGCTACACCGGGCCAGGCTATTAACCCTCTAGGACCGTCAGGGAAGCTGGACCTGATGGGATGTCACTGCTGGCACATTTTCTAGGCAACTGGACAGGATGTGGCCCGGCAACCCCTTAGAGAAGTGGACCAAGGGGCAGGTCCACCTGCTGTCACGAATCCACCCACGTTCCGGCCCCCAATGTCCCCAGGAATGGAGATGGTGACCAGCACTCCCCACAGCACTCACTGGAGCCTGCGCACGGGGAGCGGCCAGCTCTCCTGCCTGTGCTGGGAACTGCCGTGGCACCCGGGGCAGGGGTGCCCACACAGAGGTGACCTGCTTGCTGCCCCTCAGGGATCCTACCTTGTTTTTGAAGTGCACCTCGATGGGCATGATGAAGCCAGCATACCCCGACTCCTCCACTTTGTAGGGGGGCTCCTTGCACACTAAGGAAAAAAAAAAAAAAAAAAAAAGGAAGAAACACACACATCAGCCTCCTGCCCATTCCAGGCCCAGCCACTAGCGGCAGCAGCGCACCCCACAACCCGACCACCTCCTTGCAGGGGCTTGGCTGGCCTCTCAGGGGGTAGCTTTTCAGGAGGTTGAGGCCCCCTGATAGGCTTGACTTCTGTGGCAAAGGGATCTTAGGAATAAAACAGCAGGGAAGAGGAGGAGAAAGGTGACCTGGCCACAGGCATGGTCAGCAAAGAGGCATTACCCCGTCATCAGGGCACTTGTTCCCACAGAGGATGAGGAGGCTAAGGCCAGAGAAGGCTGCACAGGTTCACCCAACTCAGGTCAATGGCAGTTAGTGTGACATGGGTGAGGCGTGAGGACCACACACTCCACTGTCACCACCTCCAGCACGGGGGCTGAGCACCCACTGCGCCACAGATACATGCACTGTGAGAGGGGGGAGCCCCAGACGACTGGGACCCTCCTCCTGGGTTCTAGTTTAGTGTCTAATAAGAGCATTCCCAAGTGACATGAACAAAACTCCACTGACCCCAGAGATTTAAAAAAAAAAAAAAAAAAAGGCAGGCACAAGAGCTCACGCCTGTAATCCCAGCACTTTAGGAGGCTGAAGCAGGCAGATCACTTGAGGTCAGAAGTTTGATACCAGCCTGGCCAACATGGTGAAACCCCATCTCTACTAAAAATACAAAAATTAGTTAGGTGCGGTGGCAGGTGCCTGTAATCCCAGCTACTCAGGAGGCTGAGATGAGAGAATCACTTGAACCCAGCAGGCAGAGGTTGCAGTGAGCCAAGATCAAACCACTGCCCTCCAGCCTGGGCAACAGAGCGAGACTCCCTCTTATAAAAAATGAAAAAATAAAAAATAAAAGATCAGGCACACAGGATGCCTCATGCCTATAATCCCAGCACTCTGGGAAGCTGAGGTCGGAGAATCACTAGAACCCAGGGCAACACAGCAAGGCGCTGTCTCTATAAGAAATTAGCCAGGTGTGGTGGTGTGCACCTATAATCACAGGGGCTACTCGGGAGGCTGAGGTAGGAGGATCATTTGATCCCAGGAGGTACATCGTGCCACTGCACTCCAGCCTGGGTGACAAAGTGAGACCCTATCTCAAAAAAAAGGAGCCGGGCGCGGTGGCTCAAGCCTGTAAACCCAGTACTTTGGGAGGCCGAGACGGGTGGATCACGAGGTCAAGAGATCGAGACCATCCTGGTGAACATGGTGAAACCCTGTCTCTACTAAAAAAATACAAAAAATTAGCTGGGCATGGTGGTGCGTGCCTGTAATCCCAGCTACCCAGGAGGCTGAGGCAGGAGAATTGCCTGAACCCAGGAGGCGGAGGTTGCGGTGAGTCAAGATCACGCCATTGCACTCCAGCCTGGGTAACAAGAGTGAAACTCCGTCTCAAAAAAAAAAAAAAAAAAAAAGGAATTGCTAGAAAACAGTTAAAGGAACATAATGAAACATGATTTTTAAAATTTAAACCAAAAGATTTTTCTTTTTCGATTTGAGACAGAGTTTCGCTCTGCTGCCCAGGTTGAGGTGTAGTGGTGTGATCACAGCTCACTGTAGCCTCAACCTCCCAGGAATAAGCAATCTTCTCACCTCAGCCTCTCAAGTAGTTGGGACTACGGGCATGCACCACCATGCCTGGCGAATTTCTGACACTCTGTATAGGTGGGGTTGTACCATGTTGCCCTGCCTGGTCTCCTGAGCTCAAGGGATCCACCTACCTTTGCCTCCCAAAGTGCTGGGATCACAGCCCATTGTACCTGGCCAAGATTTTTCTTTAAAAAAAAAAAAAAATAAGCCTCTCAAACCCTGAAGACTCTCAAACATCTTCTTAGTGTATCTCACGTATCTATGCAAACATCATCTATCAGTAGGGTAGGTTTTGGAGTGATGACCTGGGGCCCTTGAAGGGAGGGCTGACTGGACGGCCTTGCCCAGGACCCAGCCTATACATTGCGGCTGTGCAAGGCTTGCTCAACTGGACCGAGGGCACGGCCTCCCCAGAGGCCAGCAAACAGTATCCCCAGCTGCCCTGCTGGGAGCTCTGAACACCACCACCTGACATCAGGGTCTGCACACAAATCATCACTGCTACCAAACAGCAGTAGAGACAACACAACACCCATTCATTTACTCATTCACTCCACGACTGTCTGTGTCAGACAGAGTCAGAGCCTGGGGTGATCACAGGCCAAGAAGATGCCCCTAGCCTTTAGTGCTTACTCCAGGGGGAGCCATCATCACCCTTGAATCACAGCTTGCCCTGAGGTGAGGAGCAGCCTCGCCTGCAGGGCCACTCTGGCTCCAATGGGAGCACCTGCAGCATGAGGGAGGTGGGCCCGGGCACCTGGGCCCCACTCTTCATTCCAGTCTCCCTCCTGCTCCTCTGACATCCTGCCAGGATGCTGGACAGGGGACCTCCAATGATGAGGCCCACCCTACACCAACCCCCCCGGCCCTCCTAAACCTGCCCTCCCCCGAGCAATCCACCACTCAGGACCCAGCTGCCCACCACGGGCCCTAGACCCCAGCCCACTGGACTCCTCTCCTGAGGCTCTCCTGTGGCCAACTGCTATCAAGGCCAACCAAAAGCGCCTCTGGAATTCAGCCCTGCCCCAGCGCGATGCCTTTCTCATCTGGTCTCAGGCTCCTTCCCAGGCATATTCTGCAGTGGGAACGATCAATCCTCTGACTGGAAATCCCACAGTGCCTGCCGAGGGAAGGCTCCCCACTGTCCTATACAACCTGCAAGGCACCTTCCGCCTCAGCTCTGTGCAGCCCAGCCCCAGATTCAGCCACACTGAGCCTCTCGGATCCACAGATCACTTTCTCTGGCAGCCCTGCTCTGAGCTCCCCACCCCACCAGGTCACAGTTCTCTCCCATAGACTCCCCGGTGTGTGTCCTGTACCCCTCAACCGCAGGGCTCTGGTGCTCACTCTGCCCGTCTCCCTTCATCCCCACCTCTAGACCATAAGCTCCATCTCACTGAGTGTGACACCGCCAAGGCCTGGAATGGTAATTAACACTTCGTTTTGGAAGCATTTCATATCCATCAAATACTGCCAAGCTAGTCTAAAGTACAGTGTGGGTCCAGGCGCGGTGGCTCACGCCTGTAATCCCAGCACTTTGGGAGGCCGAGGCAGGCAGATCACTTGAGGCCAGGAGTTTGAGACCAGCCTGGCAAACATGATGAACCCCTATCTAATAAAAATACAAAAATTAACTGTGTATGGTGATATACACCTGTAGTCCCAGCTACTCGGGAAGCTGAGGCAGGAGAATCGCTTGAACCTGAGAGGCCAAGGTTGCAGTGAGCCGAGATCATACCACTACACTCCAGCCTAGGTAAGAGAGCAAGACTCCAATCAATCAATCGATCAATCAAGTGCAGCATGGGGCCAGGCACAGGCAAGGGCAGTGACCTGGGGTTTGCTCTGACTCCTCGTGTCCCATCTTCTCTCCTCCTACCCATAGTCTAAATTCCACCCAGCCACAAAGGCCCACAGCAGGGCCGCCTCCTACTAGAAACAGACCCCATGTCCCTTGGCCTCTGACTTCCAGGTCACATGCTTTCCAAATCTACTGTAACATCTTATCTCATGATCCCCAGCCCTTCAAGGAAGGAATCCTGTTCTGTGACAGGTACTCCGAGCCTAGAGAACTTCTATCCCCGACAGCACCAAGAGGGATGGCTGAGCACCAGGGACAGGCTTCAGTCCAGCCAGGGAGACCGTGAAGACCAGGGAGACGCGCTGGCCCACTCTCCTGCTTGAGAGCAAACAGCAATCAAGAGGACAGGAATAAGGCTGTGAAAGTGAAGGCGGGAGGGAGGAGATTTGAGCTGCCTGCAAGTTTCTGGAAGGCAGAGGCTGGACAAGGACGAACTGGGCAAGGGGCAGGACGAGGAAGCAACCGGTTCAGAGTCTGCCACGGGGGCACCGCGGGGCGGGGACGGCCACTGGTGCCAGAAGGCTGAAGACCATGGACTGGCTCAGCGGAGGGCAGGAGTGAGGCTGAAAGCTGGAGGAGGGACTAGAAGAATGCGGGAGGGAACAGAAGCATGGGGAGGGGGCAGTGACTGACACTGTGGGGACTGGGATTCTCCCTGGGGTGACAGCCATGTTCTGGAATTAGACAGCAGTGATGGAAAATCAGTGGTCATAGCCGCACAACTACATGAATATACTGAAAATGCTAACTGTACACATTAAAAGAATGAATTTTATGATGTGTAAATTACATCTCCATAAAGCAGTTATTAAAAAAACAAAAGGGGGGGTGGGGGGCACACTGAAAGGCTGTGTTGGGAACAGGAGATCTCTCCCTCCCGCCCATCTCCACCCCCAACCCACCCCAACCCCCGGCCCAGGAAGTTTCAGGTTTCCTTCTAGGGAAATCCAGCCGGTTCCTGTCTCAAGAAGCTGACTATCTGGGGAAAGCTGAAGTGTAGCGTGGAAACCAGACCCCCAAGGAAAGCTTTATTCATTAGGAAATCACATGAGTCCCCAGGCCTGTGGATTAGCAGAACCCACCCTCCAGTCACAGAATGCTAAGGAACTCCCACCGGGAGGAAAGAGATTGAGGAAACAAATAATTTAGAGACAAGAGAGATTGAGAAAAAGAAAATAACAAGTAAAAACTAGGAGTCAATGCCCTCAGATTCAAGGAAATATATCCAACAAATAAAAATAAGAAGCTACTAAAAGGAAAAATTACAGCCAGGTACCACAGGTCACACCTGAAATCCCAGGCACTCTGGGAGGCTGAGGTGGGAGGATCACTTGACACCAGGAGTTCAAGGACAGCCTGGACAACTTCCCTACTAAAAATACAAAAAATTAGCTGGCCGTGGTGGTGCATACCTGTAACCCCAGCCACTCAGGAGGCTGAGGCACAAGAATCACTTGCACCCAGGAGGCAGAGGTTGCAGTAAGCCAAGAGGGCACCAGCCTAGG